AGACTCAAAAGTCTATCTTATTTGGATGTTTCTAGATGTGCAGTGTCATCCCTGGATTTAGACTTGCCATTCAGGCAGACATCTTCTCCTGGCCCATTCTTCCATTAGATTTGCTGATATCACAGATTAGAGTGAGATTCCACTTGCTTAAATCTGGGATGCTAATTCAACTTGACCCTTATGGATTGAATTTATCAGTAATAGAATTGTAGAATTCTTAGGTGCCTTTTTTGGTGGCTGCCTCAGGCAGGAGATTAGAAATAGACTAAGAGAAGAAAGTGTTCAGCATTAGGAAGCTGTTTTACTTTGAAGTTATTGAGCAATAAAATCAAGCCCTTATTAGGATTAATGTAGGACAAGCAAATGAGCTCTTTTGTGCTCATTAATTTATAGTCCAGAAGCAGGCAGGTTTTTGAGGGGAAAGCACTTAATTAAAAAATCACATACATTTTTCTTATTTAAAAGCCAGAGGCCATCTGGAAAACTTTTTAATTATAAGATTTTTGAAGATAATAAAGAAAATAAAATAGATGGTACTTTTAAAAAAGTAGCAGACAGTCACTTCAGATTTGAAAGCCAATGATGTGAAATATGAATATGTTGCAAAGTAGAGAGGGCTGGAGTAATCTGAGATTCTCCCAGGTATTTTAGAATTCAGAGTCTTTCTAGGATAACTGTAAATTATCTTTCCTTCTGACTCTTCCCTAGAGGATCTGAGAACTAAAAATTAAGTTAAAAATTAAGAGATACAATTCTGAGGATATGCTATTGTGCTTCCAGGCCCACGTGTTCTGAGTGTTCCAGATCACTGATTTTATTTTAATTACAACTTTTATGTTAACCAATTAACCAAAAGATATACTTTTATAAGGAAAAAAACTCAGCTTCAAAATATTCCTCCAGCACATTTCAAGGTGTATTGACTATTTATAAAAAGAAAACAAAAACTGTTCCACTGTAGTGAAAAAAAAAATTGAAACCCCCATATGTTGATAAAAAGATTTAGTTCAAATGTATTGCTTTATATATCATTATTTATTTATTTTTATTCTTTCATCCATTATTCTTCCTAATACTAGAAAACAATCCACCACTTAAAGTCTAAACTTCAGGGCTGGGAATATAGCTCAGTTGGCAGAGTGCTTGCCTCATATGCACAAGGCCCTGGGTTCAGTCCCTAGCACCACACACACACACACA